TGGTTTCTTTTCCTTTTAATAAATATTAACTGTTCCTACAAAAGCACAATTCTACAAGATCTAACCAGATTTTTGTTTTTAATTATACAGGCTATTGCTATAGAGGGCCTGTTGATGGACATTGTACTCACAGGATCAAGAATTCACAGACGAACATACACCAGTAATTCTGACATATGATGACAGCCAGAATTATGAATACATACCACACAGATATTGATGCTTGAAGAAGCTCTGTACTTTTGAGCAAACATAATTTGTAGATCAGACCTGTAAGAGATTCAAATTCTCATAATTGTCACTGCTCAGAAAAAGGACCCAGTATTCAAGGCAAGACAGATGGCGGGATTATTCAAAAAGAATTTATCATAAATCTGCAGTAGCATTGGCTAGGGCGTCTATCGCTGAGCCTCTGCAGACAGGAAACACAGGTTAGTGACCACGTTAATCTGGCCATGGAAGTTTATGAACCGGAGTCAATAACCTGACTTAATAGTTCAGTCTATGCCCGGAGAATGAATCCAGTCGGTGGGATACCAACAAGATGCGGCAGGCGCCGCCCAAAGTGTCCTAGACGCTGCAGCCCCAGAGAACGCAGAACAAGCAGGGGTTCAGATCCCACCAGATAAAGGAAGGCAGGAAAATCAAGAAGACAAAGCTAATGCTGGGGTTGAAGACATGCTCAGGATGCAGAACCAGGATATAAGAAGTCCGAAAAGGTTCCTGAGGGATTCCAGACAGGTGAGCGAAATGAGACATTAAGCCAATTATCAGAGCTAAGATCATGACAATAATTTTATATTACAACCATATCATAGTAATTCGTTTTTCCCTAAAGCTTCAGTGTTTCATTTTACCAGTGTGTAAAATTTGCCCAAACAATTCTCTAGCGGTACAATTATTCATTAAAAAAAGTTGGTGCAGACATATGGAATCAAAAATTAAGATTTATATGAAATGGGAACAGTGTTAAGTGTAAAGAGCTTACTATGCTTCAGTGCCTTAGAGCTTAAATACTCCTTGTGAAGATGATAACTGAAGAACAGCCTCTAAAGTGTTTGTAATATTTCGTTAAAATTTAGGACTCTCAAAGAGTAAATATTTAGCAATCCTTTAGTTTTGCTTTAATCAGCTTTTATTTTAAGAATAACATGAAAACTAAAGAAAAATCAGTATTTCTTCTCAGGCAGCCCTTCAGGCACTCTCCTCGCTCAGCTTACCAATTTGAAAATAGGAGTGGGATTATTTGTAGGTCTTCGTGGTTTTAGTGTGTGAGACAGAGTGTGTGTATGTTTGCTCCCCCACCCCCTGTACAGCCAGCAGCGTACTTAGCACAGGCTTTAAATAGCCAACTCAAATAAAGTGAGAAGAGGCCAGGGATCAGAGGCTGAGAGAGACTCTGTAAGGGAGGCCTTCCCAAACGGAAGCCTGTCTTTGGATTTCAAAACAACATTCGCAACAAGTAATGCCAAGAATGTGATCTTGTCCAGAGGCTTTGACTGGCAGCTGTGAACACCACCTTGCTACCAGGTGCTGGTGGGCCATCACACAGGAAGTGTAGCAGGAAGTACAAATGTAGGGTCAGAAAATGGCGATAGGTGACTCAGCAGATTTAGGACAGACTGAGGCTGTGGGAGAGGGACAGCAGAACCTCTATCAACCCCAAAACTATCTGAATCCCTGAAAAGGCATCCAAACTCCCCTTTACAAATAACCTCTTTCCTGTCCTCTAACTGCTTTTCCGCACTTTGCCTCCTTCTTTTACATACTGTGTTAAATTTCTATTCTTTCTCATTCTTTTTACCTTTTGACGGCTGTCTTTGTGTGCAGGCTGTGGGAAAGTTTCCCGTAATGGTGAGATCATCCACCAACGAAAGCCACCCCCACCCCTCACAAAAACACACACACATAGGCACACATCTACACCATCACTGCACACCCCTTTGTCCATGCTGTCCCTTGAAGGCCAGACAGGACTGGAGGGTAGCAACGCATCCCCACATCTCTGTCCCACTTCCAGATCCCTGATGCTCCCTGAAAAGAACAGGATCTTTAAAAGAGGCTCATTCAGAGTCACTATATGATGATCCGAAAACGGACAGCCCATCAGTCAGCCTGCAAGCCACCTGCTGCAGGATGCATCAAGCATTTAACACTCTTGCCTCCCCACCCCCATCATCTGTCATGTGCACTCCAGAAGATTCTCTTTATCACTCACACACTCAAGCATTAAAAAAAACATCCACTTTTGTTAAAGATAAGCATATTTGCTCTGATTTCCATGCTGCTACTCCCTACTTTGAATTAATTTCAGTTGCAAACTACAAACAAGTAAGAAGTTAAATAAAATAAAGTTTCTGTTTTATTGGAAACAAATAATGGCTTCTTACTGCCATCTATTGGTAGAAATGCACAATACAGCATAATAATTACAGCATTAATGTTAACAATGTTGGGAGAAGCAGTGATGATAGTTTTGGGATGGAGAGGTTATATGAGGTGGAAGATGTCTTACAATGTCTTGGTCAGATGCACAGGAAATGATGAGAAGAAGAGAGGAAGCTTCTGTGGAGGAGGCCCAGAGCCTTCCCGGTTTGAGGCACAAGCTCTACAGATTCCAGAGGCCACAGTCCAGCATCTCGCACTTAATTTGACCATAGGATGATGATTTTCCCATGAATTTGGCTTCATGCTGTCTTTAGCTCATTACAGATTGAAGACAAACCAAGTATCAATACAAAGAATGGAAAACATCTAAGCCAATCAGAGACAGGCTGAGCAATCATCTAAAGAAGATCATCTGCATAGAGCACTGTCAGTTCAGTCAATAACACTTCAACAGTAACACAAAATATTTCATACAGGTATACATGAATATATCTAATACCAATCCCTGATTTATAATGTGGATCCAAAATGTTTCTTTTTAAAGTAAAAGTTTATCGTTAGGTATGATTTCAATCCAAATGGTTTCAAAACTTTATTGCTATTCTGCAAATGTAAAAACTAACACAATTTTGCATTAGCTATTTCCATTAAATAAGAATTGTTAATTAAATCAGATGCAAATTAGCGTGTTTACACAAAAAGTCATAAAAAAATGTCATGTCACCCTCCAACTACTTCCTGTCATCATGTTATTCTTTTATGCCTTTAGTAACCTCTGGTTGTTGACAACTTGATTTATGTAATGTGAAAAAAAAAAATTATTCCAGTTTTTTTTTTCTTTTATATATATACACACCTATTTCAGTATGGTCCCAGGAAAACCAACACACACAATAGCTTTTTTTAATCATAACTGGCATGTTTCAGAAAGAGTATTTATGTAATTACAATTAGTGCAGTTTCATTGTCACGGGAATGCATTTTCTGTCACCTCCCTATTTAGGAGCAGGCGCCACTTCTACACCTTGAATTTCAAATAAAATTGTATGTAAAATGGGAAAAACTCTCCAAGCATGAGGATGTGCAGTAGATACTAGAGATCAACTGATACAGGTTTTTACAAGTATCGATGCCAATACCTATTATTATGACGTCAGTCTAACCAGTTCCAGACATGTGCTGATTATTACTGACTAGTTTTGAGTCTGGATTTTTGAAGCACCTACCATGTTTCTTTTTCAATTTTCCTGCTTAAAAATGACAGATTGCAAATGTCCCATGATTCTCAATTTAGACAAAACAAAATATTTATTGGTTAGCATACATACTGCATGCACTTCATCTTATCTTAACTTATGCCAATTTATCTGTCGTCTCTAGTAGGAACTTTTAATGAAAGCACTGCACAGAGCACAGCTAGAACTGGTGAAATACCATGAGGTAGTTGAGACAAAAGTGTACATTTTTGGTTAAAAAATGCACATAATTTTAATTAAAAATACATTTTCTTTTTTAATTGTAGTTGTAAGAATTTATTTTCTTATTTTACATGTATCTTTATGTAGGCTATTAAAGTTATGGTTTCAATCTAGGCTCATTCAAACTTGCTGAATGACATGCAGGAGGTAGACGCTCTTTTATAACCGACAGTTGCAGATCAACTCTCATTAGTTTATCTGGGTCATGTCACAGTAATACTGACTAAAAATCCTATGCAGAAAACATGTTAAACATGAGAAAGATGTATACCGATTATTAACTAAAAAAAGGTGAGTTTGGGGATGATTTGTCCTTTAACTGTGTAAAATCTTCCTTAGTTGTAGAACCTTAATATTTTTTTGCATTGAGATTATATTTAATGATGACTAGCTCTGTACTTTCATAAAGGGAGATGTCCCACAGCATGATACTTTCCTATACCAAAAGCAGTTTGGCAGTCATAGAGAGTTTTGCCCACACAATCAACTCTGCTACTTTAAAAAATGCTAAAAAAAAAAAAAGATGCAATTTTCTTAAAATTGCACTTCACTGTGAAGAAACATTGTTAGAGCAAAGAAGTTATTACAAAAACATTTATTTTTAGTTTGTGGTAGGTGTATCAGAAGAAGCTGTAGCTCAACACAAGAGTGTTAAATACATCTTTATTTCAAGAATATGAACATATAGCATAAACATTAGTAAAATAATAAAGTGACAGTTATATGAAATCCTAATATACAGTAAGTAATAACACAAAAAACAAAATACGGTAAAAAGATTTTGAACATCTGAAGAGAGTGCTAAATATAATTCATATATCTTATGTACAGCACAAAATCATTCTTGCTTTTCTTATGTTGGTGGATATTCATTTTGATATAGATAAATTATCCTGTGATTAGCTGAAAGCGGATGTAGGAATTTTTTTAGATCTGTTTATGTGCCAAAAACTCTCCAAATTAAATTCAATGTAATATAGCACAGTTTAGGTGAAGAAACTTGTATGGGAAATGTTTCCAAATTTACAAAAACTCAACAGACAAAGGGATACACTTTAAACTTCAAGCTGGTTTACCTCCTCCTGGCCAATAAGTGGTGGTCTTGTGCTTGCCTGCATATTTTTGCCTAACTGGTTACCTAATGCTAAGCTTTGGTACTTTCTCAGCTGCATCACAGAGCTACTGGGATCTGGCATTGCCTGCTTGGAATAATGCATTTAAATCTATGGCTTTAGTGCAGAACCTTTTTAATGTTAAAGTTGGCAGATAAGCAGAGTAAATACCTACTTTGTGTATTTGGACCCGTCACTATTTATAAAGTAAATATTTATAAAGTTTAGATATTCTTATTAAAAGTAATACATTTATAGTAAGCAATTGAAGAAATTGTTGTAGCTATAACATTGAAATGTAGTTTTCTATGTTTTTGTTTTTTTTAGATGTGAAGATATTTTGCTAAAGAGAAGCTTAGAGCTGTTACCCAAGATGAATGAGGTATGGTGTATTATAATGTCAAAAGAATTTTTGTTTTAACAATATGTCCTTTCATGTTTTACAAAACTATCAAACTGTCAAAATTTACTTTTAACAATGAAACAATACTACATTATTGCAATAAAGATACTATCAATATACAACAAAAAATGTAATGTTCTTACTAGATTTATATATTTTTCTAAATGATTATGTTTTATTTATACATGCAATTATATTGTTACAACAATAAAGTGTTCATATTATAAAATGACACCATTTGTTGTTACAGCATAAAAGATGTTTAACTTTAAATTGATTGATGAAGTTTAGGGGGAGGTCAGTGGTTAAGAAAATGTCTTGCTTTATTTTTCATGCTTGGACTGAGATGTAAAGGCCTGTGACAGCTTTTCTTATCGATCAAAAGTCACACAGTAAGCTCAAAGGATAAAACTGCACCACCTGGACAGCATTTCAGTGAGAAATATCTGGAGCCTATTGAGCAAAGACAAATTTAGTCTACATTATCCCAATTTAAAGTCACATTTTGACTTCTAACACAACCTAAAGCCTTTTGATTTTGAATTATTGCAGAGATCTATGGTGTTTTTGAGGGTTACAAGTTTTATCTTCTTAGATGAAATGTTTCGGTCTAACAAAAAAGTGCCAGGAAGCACAGGTTTTAAAAGTAAATGGTGTATTGAGAAACAGAATAGTGTAACATAAAATATTATATGTGTGGTATTTTTATATTTCTATCTTTTGTGTATACTTACATAAATTCATAGAGTTTTGAAATCAACTTCCATTTATACCTGTACCCATACCTATACTATTTTTACAAATAAAATTATTTTTATTTATCAAATCAATTACATTTTTTGCTGTTGTTCTTGCACAACTGGTTATTTTTGCACATTGCTGTTGTATTTGGACCTAAAAAGTATTAACCACATCACAATTTTACTGAAAAATAAACTGCATATTTTTTTCTCTATTATTTTTAGTAACACTAGCTGATGCATACAAATAGGACACTGTAAACAATACTGTCAGAGTTATTATAGGGCGTGCGAATGATTGGATATTGTCACATTTGATTGTGCTAATACATATTATTGGCAGAAATAGATGGCCCTGAAATTTCTAATTTTGCATAGGGCCCCACTGAGGCTTGGGCTGGTCAAGGTGGTCCACATGTAAAACTCAGAGTCTGATAAGGAAGATAATCAGAAACACAACCGCAACGTAAAAAAAAACTCAATATTTTTTTACCATAAATTTGAAGACATTTAAATTTGTTTTAAATTAGAAAATAGTTCAAAGAGTCTGGAAAATTTTGCCTACACTTTCAGGTTTTTTTTTTTTTTTTAAACCTTTATGAAACTAGAATGCGGAACATCAAAACATTGATGTCAGAGTTTTGGCTCCCTCCTCTGGAAGTATCCTGTAGTCCAGGCACAAGATGGCAGAAATAACCCATAAAATCCAGTGTGGAGTGTGTACAAGTTCTTTTTTTGGCTTTTGATCATGTTCATAAGTTAGCCATAATTATGAAATGAATCCACAGCAGGGATTATGTCCTTGATCCAGGTTCTCTTTATGCTGCAGCTAAGCTCCGCTTTCCATCACTTTTTGTGAGAGCCGATCATGACCTTTGAGACAAAGTTGACAATGGCGCTTGCTGGCTGCTCAGGGTCATGTTCAGCAAACAGATGACATACATTTTCAGTTTCACTCTGAGATTTCCTGGCAACAAATCCAAAAATTCTGGAAAATAAACATACAAGAGGAAAGTAAAAGATTTGCCTAAACTAAAGTTAATCAGAGTATTGTCCCTCAACAACAACTCATTTGGTAAAGCTTAGGTGAAGGTGTCAGTGTAATTCCAAATTATAATTTTTTTTTAGTCATTGCTGCTTTGATCCTGTTGTTGAAAGACCTTAAACCAGAATGACGGGAGTAAGGTTTTTTTTTTTGCCTTAAATACATCTATAACGATACTTACTTACCTACATTCAGTTACTATCACAAAGTTATTTCTAAGCTTTCAGGTCAAGTTAGCAACTGAATTTTGACCTCTGTATTCGTTCAAATGACTTTAGGTATCCTTATTTAAAAATACTAATAATACAGGTCTTGTACATTATAATAAAATGACACCTTACAGATCCTGCTAATGTCACATAAAAGTGAACAAATATGAAACCTTTCAGAGGAAAGCAGCCTGGTATAGCAACATCATACAAGACATGCCCATCACTGACATTTTATTTAGGAATAAACTTACTTTGCTGTGGAGACGCTGTCTCTTGTCCACCTATTTAGGATAAAAAGCACATTAAAATCATAAATGTGGATTACAACTGAATTAATAAGTAAATAAAAGAAATTTTGAAATTTTCATTTGTTATTGAATGTATTTTGATCAGAGCACGATGTTCACTTTTTTGGGCATTTTTTGTCCTACTGCATGCTAACAAATGGGTACAAGTTAAAAAAAAATATGTTTTTAGTAATTACTCATGTAAGTGAAGATAACCCAACTAAGCTTTTCTTTTATTACAGTTCCTTCCTCCCAGCAGCTGTTAGACTTTATAACCATGCTCAGTTGTTACATTCACACAATTTCTGTCCTGCTCACTTAAATAACATGCTGCTGTCTTTTTGTACATCTCTGGTGTTGCTGTTTTCCCATATCCACTACTGTAAAAATGTCCACAGCTGTATATTGATTATTTATTCTTCAGATGCAAAGTATATATGTTTGTGAAAATACGGTACAGTATTTAAATTTTTTTTTTCTACACTTTTAACGGTCCACATTTGTGTGTCTAGTTTTGCTGTAATGCTGCTGTAACATCATGATTTCCCCATTGTGGGAAAATAAAGGGATTTTCTATTCTTCTATTTTATTGTATTTGACCCCCAAAAGCAATGTTAGTGATATTTACAGTAATGCATTAGTTAACAATGGGGTAAATGCTCTTTCCTGTAGGTGCAGATGATTTTAGCCAGTTTTATAAATAAAACCATCATTAGAATTTGTGTTCGACTTTTTTCATAATCCAATTTGTTAATCTGAAACACTTGACAAAGCATTTATCATACTTTGGGGGGGGGGGGGGGGGGGGGCAACATCTGCAATCCAGTCCCATGTCAGATGCTGCTAAGGTTGTTGATTTAAAAGTTAGGGTGGACTGTTATCCTCTGTCCTATTAATGTGAATATTGCCATTAATCTAAAGTATTTGAACCATATTAACATCTTTGCAAACATTGTAAATAATCTCAGCTTAGTTTAAAATTTTCTGTATTTTACTGTTATTGTGCGACACAAAATATAAGGTAATTATTCCTTTCTAATCAAGGAGTAGCTTTATATAATGCATATAATTGGACCTTTACAAATGTTTTAGAAAGAAGAGCAATTGAGTTTCCATGAAATATTGCGCTGACTCAACTAATGTAGTTAAAAGTTCTTCTTTTTTTCAACAATTTAACTAAAACAAAGGCAGAATTCTAACTTTATTTGTTATAAGTAATTGATGATTAACTTTATGATTTGGTGCAGATTTTAGATATCATCTGAAGTTAAAGGCTGCTGTCAGCCAGCTAACCCAGGACAGCCCAGAACAGGTTCCACTATTGGTAATATTACTCACTTCCTTCCTTGTGGGTCCAGAGAACAGAATATAACCGTGTTCACAGCATAGTGCCTCCTGAAGAACAGCCTGTAGAGTCAAACACAGCAGCACATCAGATTGTGGTCCAATTACCTTCACTTATCTGGGATCACATGCATCCTTCAACAAGTCAACTACTGCTAAAATATCTTAAATTATTCATTATTCTTTCACATTTGATATATTTTTATTTTATTGTATTTGTTTTACTCTAGTTAAACATTTAAGCTTATTCACTGCTTTGATAAGAACCTATGTATAAAGAACTTTTTGTAATCTTATTCATAGGTTTAATTATTTCTTCATCATGTCTCTCTATATTATCTTCCTCTATTATTAGCTGAATCCAGTTTAAGTAAATATCTCAGATTTACAATGCAAGTGAAGGGGACAGTCTTTGAAACTAACAGCATCTGCAGTAGTGTAAAATGACTTTACAGGAAGAAAGAGGTGAACACCGGCTCTTACTGTAACACGTGTCAGCCTGGTTTGTCTTATTTCAGCTGGGAAAGTTCAAAGAGGATGCTTCTTCTTTGGCATCACTTTATTACAAGTAAAGCAGTGGTATGGTGCTCTTAAGAAACTTGGAATTTTATTTAATGATGATTTTACTGATACTGGTATTTACATTCTAAGAAGTTGTTAACCAGGTTTGTGTCCGGCCACTTTTGTCCCAGGTACACTTGTTCTATTTTTGGTTCCAACTCTTTTCCTATTTTTCTTTTAAATCATATCAACTTTACTGAAAACTGTTTACATTATGAAATCAAACTGACACTATAAGAGCTCTCAGTATATAGGTTTCTTTAAAATGATTTTACAGACATTGGATTAAACACTACTCCAGCTGAGATCTGTGTTGCTGTGTTTATTTGATTTTAATACAGACAAGGATTACCTTATATGATGCAAACTCGTTAACTAGAAGTGTAAATGGGAATCTGCTGAGGTGGAAGTTTGCTAAACAAGCGAACTGAGTCAAATTGCCCTGAATATGATTTTTCTGATGAAGGATACCGTGCTAAAGAAAGGTTAGTCTGACATAACTTACACTAACTTGCTTTTTTATATCCTTAAAATTAAACAGGAACTAGTAACTATACAGGCAGAATGTACAGCACACCTACAAGCCAGATTCATTTTTGTTTTGGACTAAAAATGTTTGTTCCTTATAACAAATGGATTTGTTTTAAAGCCAATAATCTGATGCAGTGGTATTCTAATCCCAGTGCTGCGTGTCCCGAGCCCGTAACATCATCAATGACCCGTCACACCCCTTCCTGCTGCCCTCTGGGAAGAGGCTTCGCAGCATTCTATGCAGGTCTAGCAGATTCTGCAACATTGCTTCCTCATTGCCATCAGACAAACGAACTATTGAAAAATCTCTAAATCATGTCACAGACTCTGCATAACACTGCTAACACCAAACCAAAAATACTGCATATTTGCAACATACAGTATATATTAATGCTCTGAACTTCCATATCAATGTGTTTTTTTGCGCCATGTATATTTTTTTTCTCCCTGTTTACATTTACCACACTGTTTACATTTGATCAATGCTGCACTTTATGGAATAAAAATGTTTATTTACTGTATGGAAGGTTGCACTAAATGAAATTTTATTTTGTATACTCTGTGCATACAAAATGACAATAAAAGTTGTTAAAGTGTCTAAGTCTAAGTCATACAAAATATATATATGAATAAAAATAATTTAAGGTTTATTTCAGAAAGATTATCAAAGCATGCTAAGACAGATACTTGCACATTGAAAGCACACAGGAGCAAAAAAGGCTATGCTGTAAGCATCTTATCATTTTTTGTAGCTCAGAAAACCTGGAGGTGTTCTTCTGATCTGATTTTTTGAATATAAATATTGGGGAAATGGGGAAAGCACAATATAATTAATGTTACAAAAAATATCCTGAAATAAGACATTTTTTGGCTTATACAGAAAAAAAAATATAAGTATAGTAGTAGCAGTCTAATTGCATTTTCAATTAGATATGTGTTTGAATTTATCTTTAATTTTGGCAATTTTTTCTTCAAACTTTTTCCTGTAAGTGATAAAATCCTTACTTTCTCTGGTTGTCTGTGAGTGTGATTCCCTGAGCAGACACTTTAAAGTGGACCACAGTGGAGGGAGGGGGAGGGTCCATGGAGAGTGTCAGTGTGGTTGCCTTCTGGACCGCCTGCTGACCCGTCAAAGACTCCAGCTCCACAGAACCCAGGAACCACACGTTGCACGCTACCACCCAAACACACAATAAGGGGGCATTTCACAACAAATCAGCACAGATTACTTTTATATTTTATTGTAATCATTTTATCATATTAAAATGTTTCACCTGCACCCTGTTTGAGAAGTTCAGCTGCTGAGTTTGTTGCTGTCTGTGCCGATGCATCATTCAGCTCCTCTAATGGATCTGTTAGACATAAAACAGCAATAGTGGCAATTAGTCATATCAAATGGTAAATTAAATTACATTTATACCTCACATGAACACAAAATAAACTAAATGATTACAAAAATATTCTACAAGTGCATTTAGAAAACAGAAATTTTACTTCAAAAATACTATCAAAAGGCTGCTAATATTTTTGAGATCTTTAGTTATTTTTATAATGTCAAAATTATAATAAAGATATCAAATGGCAATTGAAGTACATTTTGAACGTTGAATAAAATGGAAAAAAAACTGATTTTGGAAAAACTTTAACTCATATACCAATCTCATGTTTACATTTGATCACCATGTTTAGTTTTTATCACTGCTACACTTTCGAAATGGAAATGTGAGCTGTATTGAACGAAATTTGCTTTGTAACACACTGTGCGTACAAAATGATAATAAAGTTTGTCTAAGTCTAGTTCAAGTCTAAGTGCTAAGAAGAATTATTAGTGATGATTTTTGTTGTTATAAGAATTATGAACAGCCTTTCTGAGTTTAATAGAAGCCTGAATACAAAAAAAATAATAAATAGTTTAAGTGCAAATAATTTTAATTAGATGCAAAGCATTGTTTAACGGTCAGAAAATAATCTATGCTTTTTAGTTTTTTGTTTCAAGATATTTCTGTATTAATTTAAAAAGGAAATGATAAAACAAGTTTACATTTTTAAAATTTTAAATAATTATTGATACTGATGATGCTAAAAAATGTAAAACTCTATATTTAGGAGAAGTGGTAGCATAATCTATTTACCTCTGTCGGGCAGGATAAGCTTACATGGCAGGGCCAGAGGGGTGATGGAGTGCTGACACACCAGAGCTGTGAGGCTTCCTGACAAAAGGGGAGACAAATTTGGAGCATTAATTTTCACAAGTACAGCTGCACTTTATTTTTACAGCCAGCAGAGGGAGGTAGATGAATGATTTGAAAGCTTGGGTTAAACCTCTACCTTATTTTGTTTCAACTGCACTTATTGAAAGGGTTAAAGAAATCTTTGAAAAATGATTTTTACCAAAGTAAGGCTCATTGGGGCAACCTTTAAGACGAACTCCTTTTGGTGTACACTCTATCAAGAAGTGCCTGACCAGCTCACTGGACAGATCTCCTGCTAAAAGAGTTGAGATAAAACAAAACATTTAAGGAGAGAATTAAAAACAAATTACATGGCACATTGTTTGGTCAAATTTGACATATTGAAACTTCATTTTATTTTATTGATCTCACTACTCTGTGAGAGGCTGTGGAAAGTGGACACATGGATTAGAGGAAAGAGATCTATATTTCTAATATACTAAGCCAGTTTTATTCCAAAATCAGCAGGTCTTGAATAGAAGGATGACAATGAAGAGAGATGACATTTTCTGTGCACCTTTTTTACTGTGATGTACCACTGATGGAGGAGGTGTGGCCACCTTCATGGCCAGTCCATACGCCCCGCGAAATGAGTGACTGTCCCTGACAATAAATGAGCCGGGCTCTTTGTCCTTCAGCACTGCAATGGCTGTTCAGCAGGTAAATACAGACAGAAAGCAGAGAAAGGATACAGTTAGAAACACATTCACCCTGAACAAGAGAAAAGAAAAAGAGAGACTTTGCACATAAGTGTATTATACGCTCACTGGTGGCTGTTTGACTTTCTGTTTCAAGGCCAATATTTACCTTGGTCTCTGGAAATGTCGGGTTTGTACCAAAACTTGGACGTGTCCTGAACAAACTTTACAGTGTCCTGTTTACTGCTGGAGTCTGTGGGGCACAAACCAGAGCTCAGTGATAAGAATCAGCATTGTGAGGATGGGAAACATGAGCAGAAGAGATCAGAGAGGTACAGAAGTCTATTAGCAGGAGTGAATTGTTGCAGTTTTAGCAGGAATTAAAGAAGGTCATAATGAATAAGCGGGGATTTGGCACCATTAGTTAATCTTGCCTGCAAGCTTAAATCTTACGGTATTTGTGAGTTCACTAACAGATAAGAATCCTTGCATGAGAATCTTGTACCAGCTTAAATCTTTCAAGTCCGACCCAAAACAGGTGGCCCAATAGCATTGCAGTATTATGGTTTAAGGAGGAACATATTACTTTGATAAGAATAAGAGCTGTGGAGCCCACATATCCTGGCAAGCCAGATTGATAATGCTTGGTGCAGGCATGGTTTTAGCCCAAAATCAAAATAAACATGAAAGCTCATGATGGCGCATGCTTAGCTGCTGATATTACATCTGTTTTGTTGGAATCCATAATTTCTTCAAAAATAATGATCCATGTAATAAGTTGAGTAAAGTTAACTGCACATCAAAAGATAACAAAAATGCAAACTCTTTAAGAGTAATATTACCTGCCCCAGGTGACGAAGCTCCACTAAGACCTCTAAATGGATCTGATGTCAGAGAGGATGACAGAGGGATGCTGAGGCTGCTCCCACTGTGTGGGCTGGAAAATCCACTCAGAGAGGGGGACCGTGACCCTACATCTCCCACCTCACCTGTTCTTCTCTTCTCGGGCAGTAGAGGAGCAATCCCTGCATTTCCCCCAAGATTCAGATTCCCCAGGCCCTCCACGGCCTCTAGCAGACTGTGCTCCAGGCTACCATTGTCCAATAATAGCAACGAAGACAAGTCTGCACTGTCAGTTCCACTACGGACTCCTAAACTCCCTCCTCGGCTCATCTGAGTCCCCAGCGGAGAACTATGAGCATTGGGAGAGCTCAGAGGAAGAGGAGGTGAAGGTTGCGGAGGATATAGCGAGTTCAGGGAGTTTGGAGTGCGGTCGAGCCAAACAGGAGGAGGAGTAGAGCTGGAATTAAAGATTAAGACACACCTTCAGAAGAAATATTCATCAATATATCAATTTGGGAAAATTATTCAAATGAAATGCTTCTGTACTAAATATCCCGAGTATGACAGATGTTTAGGGTAATAATATAGATGTAGAAAACACTTTTAGATAACCCTTGTATGCCACATTTTTTATCGATTATTCTGATTATTATAATTAGCGGGACATCTTTTAAATTAGTGAAGATTCTGATCAAATAAAAACAACTTGAAATGTTAGGACTTTGTTAGACGAGCCCTCTTTAAACACGACGTATACCCATCTGAGTCAAAAGATTTGTAAATGAAAATCTATCTACGAAACCTGAGGTCCCAAAGGCCAAAAGTTCACAGACAGATCTTAAAAGTAAAGCCTGATGACTCTAAGTTTCTAGTAAAGCTGCAGATAATAATCAGATGCTTGAACCCATTGAGCCATTGAGCCATGTGTCAACAACCTGAACTGCTGTTGAGCCTGGATGATGAATCCTGTTTATCATCAACATTCATGGGTTTAATTTGTAAGTAGAGGGTAAAAAACTTTTATGTATTTGTCTCTTGCTGAGAAAAAACAAAAAGGTCTAAATAAAAGTTAAAGTAGCTGTAAAAAAATTAAGTCTTCTTCCTAGTTCACTCCTACTTTTAGATATGCAGGAGTACAAATAGCTATTAGTAAGTAATCAAAGCAAAAAGGTCATTGCAGCATCATGTGTGCTATATTTTACTCCCTGGAGGGAACATTGTTGTCATTTAACAAATGCAAATTTTTGCTTATGCAATTAATAGGTGTGTTGCTGGTGGTGTACAAAGATTGTTGTGCATTTGTTAAGAGATGAAAACTGGTTAAGCTTTTCCCACTAAAATGAGCAGGTTCCATGTGCTGCAGTAAAAAAGGATGAGGTTCTAAACCATGTAGTTGTTGATAAAAATGACGATAATATTCAATAACAGTAAAAATATTTATAGTGCACTTTACATAAGCAAGACTATGTTGTAGTGCTACAAACAAAAGGAAAAGAAGTTATCCGTGTCTGCTGTTTGACATCATTTCTCATTATGTAAATCTGCAGACAAAGTAACATTAGGTTATCTTATTGCATCTATTATTGTTTTGAATCATTTTGCAGGTTCAGGCCTGGCAGGACATACAGATGATATCATGATGCATCTTTGCAAAAAAAGCTCAAGACACTTGAAAAAGGCGTGCTTCACAAGGGCTTGGCATGATGAAGATGTGGCTGTTCTGTGGCTTTAGAAAACCTCCAAGAACACTCAGACCTTTTGGGGTAAACTCCAAGAAAACTTTAAAAGTCCTGAGGTCCTAAGATGCTTTAAATAAAATGTAAAACGTATTTGTTTCAAGTTGCTTTTGATTGTTTTATTTAAGCTTTTAACTGCCTGTACCTCCGCAACATCTATAAAGGGGAGTATAACCCTGAGGTTATCAACAGCCACATTCTGACTGTTTTTTATCTCCTTACTATCACATTGTATGACAAAAATGTGTCCTAATTGTTTTTTGTTTGTTTTAGAGACATTTACCTGTCTGTGTGTTGGAGGGGACTGCTAGTTGACATTGAGGTCATGGAGCCAAAGATCCTTTGACAGGAGGTGGGAGTGACTGGAACGTCAGATTGGAACAGCTCTCTGTCTTTGGAGCCCCCAGAATGGTTCATGCCATCCAGGAAACTTCTCGATTCTGAGCAAAGGAGAAACAGAAAGTAGTATTAACTTAACACAAACAGAAAACTGTTTTACATACGTTAGTAACCTACCTTTGTTTGAACTTTAATCAGAAACAATAAAAACCTACTTGCTGTGTTTTACAGAACAAAGTTCTACCACATAAGATTACTCAATTTGTGATATTAGCAGTACAGTAAATGTGTTGTTATAATAAACTATAAAACACATCTACTTTTAAATGTACAACTGAATTCACCAGATAGGGGTCCAAAGCTACACCTTTGCTGGAAGCAGAAATTTAACTAGTGCAATGCTTTCAGGACATACATGCAAACACAACATCCTGAATGTGTCATTCAGCAAACACACAGAAGGGCCTCCTCAAGCTAAAGAACAGGGCTATGCAGCAGCATGAGTCATGGAGAAAACAGTCAGTCATTATAAAGACCTTGCTGTGAAGCCCGCTGAGTCTCTCACTTCACTCCCTTGTCCCTCCTCTTTTCTGTTTCACACGCGGCATTACTTTGAGTGGATTTTATAAAGAGACATGATGAATGCAAAGAATGCCATACAAAAAAAAAATGCAAATTAAAATGAATCATGTAAAGTAGATCTAAATAGATTATTCTGTAGATAATCAGTTTTCAAGGTTTGGTGTCCTGCAACTTTCCACACAGCTGGTTAAATAGTGAGGTCAATAAAGGGGCAAAGCATGCAATGTGTAATGCAGAGTTCCTCAATTTTATTCCTCATGGTTCAGTGTACTGCACCTTTCAGATGTGCCACTCCTTCCACATACCTGAGTTAAATAATCAGGTTATTAGCAGGATTTTGCAGACCTTCACTGCATGCCAAGCAGGTTTTTCAGGCATTTCATTTAGGTGTATGGGAAGCAGGGATGCATCTATACGTTTCTGGGCACCAAACATGGTGGCCTAGAATTGAAGAACCCTGGAGTAGAAGATATTCAGCTGTTTGATTCAAGCTGGTCGAAACAGAGACACATATAAAGATCGCAGGACAATTAAAGGACTGGAGTTTGACCCTTTAATGTCTATTTACCATGTATGGTTCTACTATTTACATTTTGTGGGAGGGGGGTACATTCAGGAAGGAGCAAAGTGTTCCATATGTTTTATCTATTATAGATTTATTTATCTATTATCTATACTGATTACTCAAACCCCTTTACACCCTTATTAGCATTACATTACATTATATAAACATTCAAATACATTCAAATACTGGATCAAAAACTATACCATTACCACCACTGTAGTATTCTGAGGAAATATCAGTTACTTACCTGGAACAATCTTATCAAGTTCAAAAACATCTGTTTAATTTATAAAATCAGACATGGTTTAGCACCACCTCCACTATGTGACTTTGTACAGTTCAGATCCAGTGAGATTAGGGTAACCAGAGGGGCAGTGAGGGAAGACTGCATCATCCCCCAGAGAAAAACAGCCTTTGGTCAGGCTGTCTTCTCCGTAAGAGCATCTCAGCAATGGAACACAGTGCCAGAAACCATCAGAAACTCTTTGTCATTCTCTTCAATCAAAAAGAATGCAATAAAATGGCTTGTAGAGAGCCGAATTTGAGGGCACTAAGGTTTTCTGTGTGTATTTAAATAATTTTACAATTTATTTTTAATCATTTTACATGAATTTTATTTCTTAACCATAATGTTTTTTATGTAATTGGTATCGTAATTTAATCTTGTGATTTTATACTTGTGTTTATTTTTAAGGTTGCCTTTTTAATATCTGGCTGGGGGACTACCGATGAAAATTAGCACTCCTTAGCTAACTCGGGTATATTTACATTGTTTTAATGTTGATTAATGTACACTCTCCCCTTTCAAATAAACAATAAATGTAATGTAAATTAGCCTAATTGTAATCATAATCATTCACACATTATTACACAATTATAGAGATCGGTAGGCATCATGGGGCTGAATATGGCTAGGGTTACATCAATATGTGACAAAAGGGTATTTTAATCAGGCCCACAACTTTTGGGTTGCATATGGACCACTCTTTTTTCTTGTTACAGCAGATGTTTGGATGGAGACTGTAAAACATGGGATGCCTTATTAGTTTTAGGCTAACTGCTAATTTAAGTTGAAAGACAGCAGGAAGGCCAAATAATAATAATAATAAACTGCATCCTCCCTTTTTTATATCCAGTTGGCAGCAAATGTTTGTAACTGAGTTAATGACTAAATATCTCCACTGGAAAATGCTTGATAGACTAAAATTTAAATCAGGTCAAACCTGCTCTCCTTACCCACTTGGAGATGCAAGAGGCAATTGCTTTTAAAAGAAGAAATCTCTAACAGTAGCTGACTCGTGTCAGCTGACAATATATTATCAGTTTTATTTCTGAAACACTGGACTACTATGTCCCTGTGGTGGACTTGCAACCTGTTTAGAGTTTAAGCTGCCTTCTGTTCGTAGATATTTTGAGACAGGAACGAACGCAACACTTGATTTTACTATCAAGCGAGACTGTAAAAAAGTTGTGGATTCACTTAATCATTTTAATTGGTTTCAACACTGTTCATATTAACTTTTTTGAACTTTTAACTGTTTTTAAGGGCATTCCTTTATCATGCAAAGAGTGGTAATTATTGTATAGCACAATATCAATAGTTTATTGATGACAAATGGCGCTTTTATTAAAATACTGGGACTTGAAATTAAAAAGTTCATATCAAGTTTACATGAATGTCTTGAGAGATCACACGGCATATAGTTTTAACACAACTTGGAAAGTTGTTTCTGTTAATGCTTAAAGGAAACAAACACAAAACTAAATGGGAGAGAGCATCAGGATTTTTCAAACATTCCCACAGTCTCTGATACTTTTCTCTCTCTTGGGATGACTCCTGGAGAGCAGCTGAACTTCATCTCTCTCTGTGTTCTCATGCATCACTTTCTAAAGTTCCAAATCTACGAAACCTGCTGCCTCACTGGTGAAAAAATAAATTCCATCATATATCAGCAAGTTGAAAATCTGAAGAGCAAGTGTTTTATGTTTAATTACAACTGATGTACAGAGAAATGAACAAAGCGACGCAAATCTAAAACATGCCAAAGTAGCTAATGCCTACGTTTTTGCTTTATTAAAGGATAAAGCATGCTAGAATTGCACAATGTTAACTAAACATACAAAATATATGGAAAAACAAAAATTTGTGTGGTCACATTTCATGAACAGCAACCTTTTTCAGTAAACAGTGAAAAGGAGCACAAAGCTGAACCTCAACTGCAGAGCCCCATGAGTTAAAATTGTAAGTTTTATTGAAAAACAGATTGCAGCCAAGGATTACAGTAAGAAAGCTTGTTATGACACATTTCTACTCTAATTCATGTACATCGGTGCATGCTGTAATTGTCATTGAATATCTAAACTGTTAATGTGACACCTAAATAGCCATGTTTTAAGTCACAATACAACACAGAGATTAGATGAACTGTACAAAATAAGCCCTGTAGTTTTCAATCAAATAATCTATTCTAGGTGCATTTTGTTGGCTCTGAGGTTGTGTTCTGTATATTCTAATATATTAGCATTTATATTGCACTCCATTAGTATTTGTTGTTGATTTGTTTAAAAAATTGTATAGGGATTATGATGTACAGGTGCTGGTCATAAAATTAGAATATCATGAAAAAGTAGATTGATTTCAGTAATTCCATTTAAAAAGTGAAACTTGTATATTATATTCATACATTACATACAAACTCATATATTTCAGATGTTTATTTTGTTTAATTTTGATGATTACAAATGACAACAAATGAAAATCTCAAATTCATCATATCAGAAAATTAGAATATTACTGAAGACCAATAAAAACAAAGGATTTATAGAAATGTTGGCCAACTGAAAAGTATGAACATGAAAAGTATGAGCATGTACAGCACTCAGTATTTAGTTGGGCCTCCTTTGGCCTGTATTACTGCAGCAATGCGGCGTGGCATGGAGTCGATCAGTCTGTGGCACTGCTCAGGTGTTATGATAGCCCAGGTTGCTCTAATAGTGGCTTTTAGCTCTTCTGAATTGTTGGGTCTGGTGTATTGCATCTTCTTCTTCACAATACCCCATAGATTTTCTATGGGGTTAAGGTCAGGAGAGTTTGCTGGCCAATTAAGAACAGGGATACCATGGTCCTTCAACCAGGTACTGGTAGCTTTGGCACTGTGTGCAGGTGCCAAGTCCTGTTGGAAAATGAAATCTGCATCTCCAAAAAGTTGGTCAGCTGCAGGAAGCATGAAGTGCTCTAAAACTTCCTGGTATGTGGCTGCGTTGACCCTGGACCTCAGAAAACACAATGGACCAACACCAGCAGATGACGTGGCACCCCAAACCATCACTGACTGTGGAAACTTTACACTGGACTTCAAGCAACGTGGATGAAGTGCCTCTCTTCTTTTCCTCCAGACTCTGGGACCTTGATTTCCAAAGGAAATGCAAAATTTACTTTCATCAGAGAACATGACTTTGGACCACTCACCAGCAGTCCAGTCCTGTTTCTCTTTAGCCCAGGCAAGACGCTTCTGACGCTGTCTGTGGTTCAAGAGTGGCTTGACACAAGGAATGCGACAGCAGAAACCCATGTCTTTCATACGTCTGTGTGTGGTGGTTCTTGAAGCACTCACTCCAGCTGCAGTCCACTCTTTGTGAATCTCCCCCACATTTTTGAATGGGTTTTGTTTCACAATCCTCTCCAGGGTGCGGTTATCTCTCTTGCTTGTACACTTTTTTCGACCACATCTTTTCCTTCCCTTCGCCTCTCTATTAATGTGCTTGGACACTGAGCTCTGTGAACAGCCAGCCTCTTTAGCGATGACCTTTTGTGTCTTGCCCTCCTTGTGCAAGGTGTCGATGGTCGTCTTTTGGACAACTGTCAAGTCAGCAGTCTTCCCCATGATTGTGTAGCCTATAGAACTAGACTGAAAGACCATTTAAAGGCTTTTGCAGGTGGTTTGAGTTAATTAG